TTGTTTCGGAGCACGGTAAAGGCCCGGTAAAGGCCTTCCCTCCGGGGCATAGGGTTCATTATTGAGCTCCTGCGGCTGGGTATTATAATTGAGGGGGGTTCGCGCAGTTTACTGTCTATCCATCTTGCTCCACCCTTGACCTTCGTTTTGCGCCAGTCGTCTTCGCTGGTGGGTGCGAAGGTGCGTGTGGGTGTGTCTCGGGGTCGGAGAGACGGAGCAAGCATAAGCACACTGTGCAGAATTACATGATCAAGATATCTCCTCACAGTCTCCATATAGTTCTACTAACTATATTATATCCCAAAGTACAGTTGCAATCTAGCCTAACCATTAGGGCCCTCATATTATATACATGCGCATGGACTTGCGGTGAGCTCCGAAGGCAGCCCGAGAGGCCGAGGAGAAGGACGACTCGAGAGGGGGCCCAGGGCAGCTCTTTAAAGCTTCAGGGGTTTAGGGCTTAGGAGAAAAATATAGGGTCGCAATACTACTCAATTGATAGCATCTACCCACCGTTGGTCCTACTATGACCAAAACATAGCATTCCCCAAAACCCTGTTCCAATCTGTATGTCCTCCATTTACTTAGCGGTTCAGGGTTACTTGATACACTTTCTAACTCATGATAATGAACGAGTACTTAGACCAGTGCCTCGAGAGTCACAGTTCCCTACGGATGGATAGAGATTTTTCGACGTAGCTGCCGTCCCCAACTTCAGGGAGTCATGAGTATGAGGGCCCATTTACAAGAACTATAAGAAGGAACCCCAAATTAGTATAGTTACTTATTTAGGCCTCTATATTACCTGTCCGAGCCTGTTGTTTGTGCTTCGCGTTTGGTAGTGAGTGATACTACTGCGTTTTTCGCGTACAAGGATTCCCCACTAGAAGAACATCTGCGCACTGGTCCAAGATGATTTCCGTCTTTCAAGATGGGCCATCGCAAGACATCAGTCCATTGCCTGCGCTTGGTTCGAGTTCTCCAAACCCCGAAGACCACATTCGCCCCACGCATCCGCATCCGATTCCCTTCAGCCCCAGCCACCAAGTAAGTCAGGCACACCCGTGAAAAGTCCGGGCCCTAGATCGGAGGTTTCCACGAAGCTCGACTCGAGATGATCCTTAAACCCCTTGCCCTGAACCCCAGTAGCACATACTAGCACCCTAACCCACGCCTTGCTGGAGGTAGGAAAAGGGGCCTAAATAAAAAAGGAAAAACCCTCACACCTCCGGAACCCAAATTCTGAAAGCTCATAAACCCAACAGTTTCCCTCAATCCCAAGAGCCCCAAAGCAGGAGGAGGAAACCGCTCAGGAGGCCAAGGAAGAGGCCAAGGCCTGAAACTCCGATTTCGCGAATCTGAAAGGTGAGTAGAGCGCTTGTAGTGAATAAGGGGGTGTTTGAAGCAAAGAGGGTTTAGGGGGTTTTGAATCAAAGAGGGTTTAAGTTTAACTAGGTTTGCAAGGGTTTTCAGCGACGATATGAGTTTTACGGTAGGGGTCTGAATAATTGTCAGCACTGCTCAGTAAGGTGTCCTTGGTGTATTTCCACTATAGTACTGGCACCACATACGACAAAGCAATTTTCTGATTGTTGAGGCCGCGCCAATGCCTTGCTAGGGTCGGGGGTAAGTTTTGTAGGTTTCTGAGAAGGCATGCAGGTGCCGATGCATTTCGACTACTAGTGTTTATAGTCATGGGTTCGGATTCGGTGCTGAGGTGTGTTCGTGATTGTTTCGTGTGTGGTTCTCCTGTGGGCTGAGTACAATGCTGCCAAAGTTCCGGTATTCTTGCAGGCCTCTAAATTGCGTTTTGTCAAGGAAGTTTAGGGCTGTTTGCTCAGCTTCCTGTGTCCAATTTGCTTGAAAGCAAACTATAAAGAGTGCATCGAAGAAGGAAGCCGGACGAACTGACAGAGGTGGAGTTTAAAACATTTTGCAACGCAATGTCCATCAAACTGGCATTGGGTGTTGGAGTCCCTCAAGCCTTCGCGAAGGCAAGAAACCCCTGACAGACTGTTGCTGGCCTGAAGCCTTCGCTTTGAGCTTCAGAAAGATCCCCAGACCCAGAACCTCACAACCTCAGCTCCCGAAACAAGGAGGAAGAGGCCAAGGAAGAGTGAGCGCCAAAGGGACACGGCCTTTCAGTGGACAGGGCTGGGGTGGCAGGGCTCCGATGAATCTGAAGCTGTTTAAGCCGTTTTCGAGCATTTAGAGCACGAGAGTGCCTGGCTGCTTAAGGGTTTAGTAATCCTCGGCCCATGCCACTCCGCCTGCTTCGGGCACCACATGTTGGACAATGTCCAGGATCGTGGTTCCAGCTGATCCAAGAGCTCGCTGTTTGACCCCGACGGGACTTAGACCCAACCAGACTCGCTGACCGCATGTTGGAGTAGACTCGAGGCCACGCCGAATCCAAAAAAAGCTCGCATCTTGCCGTTATACGGTAACTCTGGTGCGGTGTAGTGCATATACATATACATGTATATATATATATATATGTATATGTATATGTATATGTATATGTATCTATATCGTCACACATGCATCTATATCTATATCTATCTATATACATATATATATATACACACACTACCGGATTGCTGGAGAGACGGCGCAATGAGCGCCTTCCTGGATCTCCGAACCACTCAAAGTGACTCCAAGTCTAACGTTACTGGAAGCTTCGAGCTGTAGCACCCGTGGGAGCTAAAGGCGGGATCAGGCAAGACCAGGCAAGCTGTTATTCTACCGAAGCCAAGCCGGCATACATCATTCAGGGTCCCTCTTATCATTTTTCATTAGGTTTGGATTCACATCTGGGCCTTCCTGTGCTGGACAATCAGTTCAAGTACCTTTTCACTATACTCCTGGGGTAAATTGTGTTACTGAAGCTGGTATTGAATCACGTCCGCAGTGTCAGGCACACCCGTGTGTTACCGCCGTGACAGATGCTGCCCCAAGCCCCCAAGTACAATGCTGGCAATACCTTTGGCCCGTTGCAGCAGAAAGGACTTCGGCAACTTCCAAGATGTCCAGCAGATGTCAGAGGCTCCGTCGGGGTAGATCACCACCTCAGAGCATGGAAGCTTCCCTGCTCAGTTTCTGAGCCTTAAAGACATCCAAGGCCAAGAAGCTTCTGTATGAAGGCCCTATGGCTGTGAGTGCCAGGGCTTTAGGAGCCTTGGGACCCCCCTTAGGCCTTAGAGATGTGTCTCGAAGTGAACCCAGAGACTCCAATATCCCTTAATTAAGGGATATACCTTAAATCATATTAAGGATCCTTCTATAATCTGAGGAATATTCCTTAATTAAGGGGTATTGGAGTCTCTGGGAAGGTGTACAAGGAGCGGCAGAAGTTCGGCCGCTTCTATTATCGCTTCCCGAACGGCGTCCTGGCATGGAGAAGAGTTTAGGCTGAGTCGGAAGTTTGAGAAGAAGCGGTCTGAGAAGAAGCTTACCAGATAAATTTGAGGCATTTTCCCCAGACCCGGTGCTGGTGACCTTGGTGAAGCCAATATGTATCATGCACGGCGTGATTTCCAAAGAACGGGGCTAAAGATTGGCATGCCGCAGGGTTCAAGGTTTGATATTCGGGCTCGGAGTTTGGATCCGCGGCTCAAGTGCACAACCCACACATTTACTGCTCAAGCCCCTGCAGACGTTACGGGATGAAACTGGAAGTACACTTGTGGTTTTGCTTTCTTGCTCGATGGTCTCGTCCAGACAAATCAAATTGAACTCATTTCCTGGCGGAACACATCTTTCGCTCCGAATTCTCGTGTCATGCCATGCCTTCAGGTGAAGCGGGGACTGATGTCTTCGATCGCGTGAGCGACTTCTGGTCAAGCCTCCTGCGCTCCATGGCCCTTCAGCTGAATGTGGCCACGCACAACTGATACTATCTATGGCAGAATCTCTGGAAGGTTCATGGCACGTGGTGAGTATAGTGCTTTTGCAAGGGCTGTTTGTGCTGAGATGCTTTTTCTTCTCAGCGGTGGCAAGGTTCATCTTGGAGAAAGGAACCTGCACCCTCCCACCAACATCAGGTGTGCTTCAAGCCTTTCGCCCTGCACCTTCAGGCTTAATAATAATACTGCTAATTCTAGTCAAGAATAGTGAGAATAGTAACAATACCACTAAAAAGAACAATACTAATAGTAATGGTCCTAAGTTAGGTCTCTGTTCAGTGCATCGACGCTGGTCGGGCGAATGTGGCCAGGATGCCAACCCTGTGGAGAATTTAGTCCTCGTGTCCCACGGCCTCCTGATGCGAATCTTCTGCATGGTCTATTTCCACTGGACCGTAGAGGACTGTCGGCGTGAGTTTTCGGGCTCAATCTCCGGGCTTTCTGATTAGCGCTTAAGACTTTCTTCGGGTTTCTGAGACACTGTACGGGTAGCTTTAAGGATTTGTGGGGGGTTCATCCGCTCTGTTCATCGATCCTCAGGCACGCCAAGCCTCACGAACGATGCGAGTTGAGCAAGAAAGCTTCCATAAGTCGAGGTGTTTTGGAGTGAAGCGCACGTAGCAATTATTGATCCCCGTGATTGGCAACTATATCACCACACAAATGACACAGGTCATTCTTTCAAGTTTCGAACAAAGGGAGTTCTAACACGCGAACACCGGAAACCCCCATCTGACATCTGCTTCATCATCCGAGATATGGTATGCTTCAGAAACATGACATGTCAGCGGTTTGCCACGGCGACAGTAGTCGAAGCATCAGCAAAGTGGCAATGATGCCGATCATCAAAGATCGACTCTGAATCACACACCGGACATCCTCGGCCGCGACCTTCATGCTTCGACCTATCCCCACAGGAGTTCGAGCAAGTCTGGAACCCCTCCAACTGCGAAGTGTGGGCGCTGGAGAAGGTGAAGATGTTGCTGAGTTTCCCGTTTTGCGCATGTGTACAGCTTATAGACATATACGCTTGTCCTCAAGTTGATGATCCAAACCCAAGCACAAATTCTGAAACCCTCTTGTTTTGCTTCTGTTGGACGGTCGAGACTGCAGTTGGAGGCCCTCGAACCCGCAGATATGTTGCCGGCTACATCCCTGAGCTAAAGCAACATTCAGGGGCAGGGCAGCTACAACCTCGCTGGGCGATGGCGCCCCTCCCCAACTGGCGGCTCCTTTCGTGAGATCCGAGACCTGGGCGGCAACCAGAGATAGACTCGTGGTCAAGTTCCGGTGCTACAAGCCTCCAAATCGTCGCAGTAGCAGTAGGTCAGTAGGAGCAGTGCTAGTACTGGCCCTAGCTCTGGCAACAGCATGAAGTGGCCCGAGCAGTTGGTTTCTTACATGCTGGACGGGATTTCAGAGTAGTGTCTATCAGTATCCCAGCTTTAACCATATGGGGGTTTCAGAAAATTAGGGTACCTTAGTTTGGGGTCCTTATAATAAGGACCCTTTTTATTAGGGTACTATATTAGGGTCCCCTATTTTCGGAAACCCCTATATGGCGGCACTCACATGACGCAGTATGCAGGAGGGAATGCCATGCCAAGGCTTCGGTGCCAAGAGAAACCAGCCGCTGTGGTGACATGCCTGCATGGTTCTTGCTGCCAGCCAAGTTCATGGGGCCATTTGGGATCTTTTGGGTGTGGAGAGCTGTCAGCCTTGTCATCCCTGTTCGTGTTTCCGCAGATATTCAGTACTGTGGTTGTTCAAAACTATACTTGATCTCATCAGTTGATGACGGCTGCACCAAGCCTGTGAACAACGTGAACCTAAACGATGTTTGCAGCTGAACACCTGGCTTAGTTGGTACAACACCGCCTGTACCTGCCACCTCCAATGAGCTTTCGTAACTTGATGTTTTATATCTGCCCAGATTCTACAGACTCGAACATGTTGACCCCTTATGAACATCAAGCCGTGCTCCTTCGGAGAGTGCTGCCGTCGATCCATGCCCAGGCCCCCAACCAACGAACATTACAAAGCGAAAGTATCGAGCCTGCTTCAACCCTGCCATGCCCGCCATGCCGGTAAATTGCAGGAATCACATGAAATGCAGACGTGGACCTCGAGTATTTGTAGTGCCGGCTTCTCAGACAACGGGCGTGCAAAACCTGCAGGGGTGATGCGCATTGTGGCAGAGATGACTTCGGCAGGTTTAGGATCAGCTTTGCTTAAAGCGTTTGTGTCGTGAAGATGCTTGCGTCTTCGCCCAGTGCCGCCAACCTGGAATGTTCGCCTTAAAGCTCAGAGTGAAAGAATGGAGACGTCCCGAGCTCGTGCCACGACCACCACCAGCAAAACAATACATGTAGTGCCCATGTCGTCGTAGGCTTACTATTGCAAAGCGAACCGCGGGGAAGCAGCTGCTATTCCGATAGTCTCCCTGCTAAATCGTGGCCTCAATTTACAAGGCCTTCTGGCGACGAGAGGCTTGAGGACCCGATGTTCGCCTCTTTGCCCGGCAATCCGTGGAGCTCTCAGCTGAGTTGAAGGCGTGCAGGTTTGCATAAGATTCTAGGGCTTCTGTCTTCAAGGAGAAGTTGATGACACTTTTCTCTGCAATTCAAAGACCTTTCAACTGAGTCGTGATGCATTGCATTGACCATTGGTCGAGGTCTTGTTGCTGCGGCTTGAGCATGAATATGTAACAGCACATAACAGCTCATGCGCTTGTTTTTGGCTTCTTTGTCTTTATGGGAAATGTGGTCGTGCTTTTCGTGAGCTGGTTGCCTGTCAGAACCTGGAATAAGTATCTGCAAGCTTGCCAAACGCTCCGAGATCAACACGGTTTTGCAACCTGCTCGAGTGTTGTTTCGACTCCAGGGTATCCTGCTTTGCGAAGGTGCACACAAGTTTCTTTGCCAAACTCAGGCGCAGGAAAGACGAGAGCAATGTGGCCAAAACGATTACAGGCGCGCAGTACCGCAGGCGCGACCTTGCTGCCGTCGCTCGCATACTGCATGTAGTGATGCTATCCTCCAGGATCCTCCAAGAGCCCCTATATCATCGAACAAGCCCTTTCAAATGAGGAAGGCCTCTGCATAAAGAATAATTATGAGTTACATCTGCTGCACTTGATGAGAGTTGGTCCCTGGCAGCTGGCACTTATCCCTCCAATGCGATACAGCGGAGAGTCTGTGCTTGGAGGTTGGTGACGGGATTGCGAAGGTGTTGTCCAGAAGCTGAAGAACTTCATTTGTGACATAGAGCAACAACACTTCCAAGCCAAGCTGGGCTGGTTCTTTCTTCAACCCTTTACCCCGACAACCAGCCCCCTCAAAGAAATCAAGACTACAAGCTTCTCCAAGACCTTAAGCTCCGAATCACAGCGGGCCAGGAAGCAAAAGGTCTTGGAGGCTGAAGAGAGCATCGAGGAGGAAGCAGAGTAATGAGAGATCCTTGTCGGAGGGGCCCCGCTTCGCATCCCGGGAGCTTATGCAGGACTCGTGGGCAAGTTCAGGGCTTGTGCTGGCTGCTTCAATGTTATTCAGACTCTGCACTTACGTCACGGTAAGTGCAGGGGCTGCGAAGAAACGGCTAGTTTAATTAAGCAGCTCAGGGGTAAGAATTGGGGTTAGGGTTCGGGGTCAAATCAGGTTCTGAAGCACAAGCGATAGGTTCAGGTTCCAAGCCAAACCTCTGCCATCAGCTTTTACGACAATGCGGCGTTTCGTGATGCATACTTGGCTTATAGATATTGCCTGGAAGATCAATTTAGCAAAGCCGGCAGATACTCCAGTATCTCAGCATGTCACATGAAATTCGTTTACTTGGGCATTGCGATGATGTCCGATATCCAGACTTTTGGATTTGCACATTTACGGAGCGAGGTTGTGGACTCAATAACCAAAAGTGCTCGGAACCATCCTTGGCATGGCAGCTGTGATTCGGTCGACTCAGAACTAAAGTTTAAAGTTTGGCATCCCGGCTTTCCACGATTGGTGAAGCGTTGGTGCTTGGCGTCGCGCCTCAGTTGTACCCCGTGGTGAAGATTGGCTTCCAAATTTACCGTAGTCCGTGAAGCCCACAAATACTAATGAAAAGTCAAGCCATATCAAGCCCGTTTCTGGCAGCTGCTACTTCAGTTTTAACATCGGCCATGAAAGTCAAGATTTTGCAAACGAGGGCCCCGGGAACGTCTCAGACATCCTGCGATGACTGCTTTGCAACGGTGCCCCTCCGTAGCTTCGCAGGTTAACGTGCCTCTGCCTGAAGACCTCCCTGCCGCAGCTCATGAAATGCTCGCAGAAGTTTCATACTTAGCATGGTGTGTCATGCTCCGGTTCTGAGATCGGTGGCGTGTGGGGCTGATCTTCGCTTGATTTGTAATTACTCTGCTTCATTGGTTTAGGCCGTTTGGTGTCGAAATGTCGGATGAAGGCATGCATAGTCAATGTCGCCCAAGCGCCGGATCTGATGTCCGACTACGACGTCCTCCTCGCTCATGCATGCTGGCAAATCCAAGCCAAGCAGTGGGCATTTGGCCGTTTGGCGCCCGCTTGCAGAAAAGGAGTTATTTTCCGTTCTTCCGTTCCTGTTCAGGGTTTGCTTCTGGTGGTTGAGGTTGGGTCCTGAGCATTTGCCCAAGCGCAGGAGTCATCTCGCAACAATTTCTTGGTCTCTTCGCAGGTGCGCAACGTCCAGCTGGTCGATTGGCTCCGATCAGCCGCATCGTGCGAAAGAGAGCTTAGGGCCTTCGGGTTTAGGGAAGAGAGCTGCAGTCAGAATCCGCTGTTCCGAAGTTGGACTACCAAGACGAAACCATACCTAAACCAAATCTCCATCGAGCTGAAACTTTCCTAGCGTTTGCCACTGGTACCAATGCGCGGCAGGCTTACCTCATGAGGGGTGATGCCTTCTGATGTTGCCCGCACGTTTCGATTTCCCGAGGCTCAAGGTTAGCGATTGCAGACCTGCGAAGAACATGCACCTGGCTCATGCTAGAGCGGAGTCCAGTGATCACGGGTTCTTGTTGAAAAGCTTTCTTCCAGCTGAGCTGTCTACCAGTTCGACAATACTCTACCTTTGAGCCAGTGAAGCCACTTGGGTCAGAAGCTACTGGTAGCAACCCAAGCTTGGCTGTAGGGGTCAGCAGGGCCCGGTGTGTGCAGAACGGGTCCTTCGAGATTTGGAGGATCACTGGTTTTATGGTTTAGCTGCATCTTCTCCGTTGCCATGGCGCTCCAGGCAAGCGGCACCTCAAAGAGAGCAGTCGGCAGTTCAGTGATGTTGTGCTCCAGAATGTTATAACCTTTACTTCGTAATGAGTCTGCCAAAGGTTGTGTTATTAATCAATAGATTATCACTCGCATCGAACACGAAGGCACGAAAACGAAGACAGCCCAAACAAGCCGGCAGGACGCCAAAACAAAACGCTGGAAAGGTGCTATATAGGGGTACCAACCCTGCAAGAATTACGCTTCGGCCACGGCCACGGCGTCTGGAACCCCGCGGTTCGATGTGTAGAAAGTCCACAGCGAACTGCTGCTAAGTTCAGGCTGGCTGCCAGCGGCACGCGAAAGACATAATTACCCCAATGTCGAATCCTTCTCTAGACGCGTTCTAAAGACTGGAAGAGAGCTGAAGCGTTTTTGTCCCAGTGAAACCGTGCATTCTGTTTAGTCATCTCTTTTCCCGAAAACTGGCAGGGCGCCTTTCCCCAGCAGCGGGGCACGAAGAGGCCTTTATTGAAGGCTTTTACTTTGTTTTTGGAAGACTTGTGTGGTATGCACACCTGACGGACTGCGGATTAAGACGACCAAGGGTTTGTCAAGGGGACGAGACTAGGAATATTAGGATATACGGATCTACCTGCGCTCGTCGAGTCTGGGGACGTCGTACAGGTTCGAGGGATCAAAAGGGGAAGCTGATGTATGCAGCCAGCACTCAGAAGTCTTTTGGCCAACTGCATGCGGCCTGTACAATCTTGCGAGTCTAACCATCGCTTCCTGCAAAGTCTGTGTATAGTGCGAAAATTTCTTCGACTCTGTTTGGCCCAGGCCTATGCCCGCCCAGATGCCTCGAGAGGTGTTCTTCAGCAACGTGCCTTACAGCTCCTTGGGCCCAAGGGTTTGGTTGAGGCGCAGCGAGGAGTTCGGGGCTTACTTGCTCGTTTTTGGTCGTTGGCTACATGTCGTGCTTGAGTGTGTGAGGGTCTGGCTGCGCTTGGGCATGCCTTCTGTCTTCTTCAACATTAGCGAAAGCCCTAAACCCTAAACCCTAAACACCTAATCAAGCAGTGCATCGTGAGCCCTGGCGTCCTGCATGTAGCTCCTCGGGTCCTCTGTAGTAGTAGCATTCTGAGCTAGGCTGTGCACTCTAAACAGTACAGGGGAGCTCAACCAGGACTGAAGTGGAGTTGTTGTTGCAGTGTCTCTCTGTATGCCCGCCGTATACTTCTGCTTAGCGAACTAGGGTGTTTGAGTAGGTTCGGTCCCGGGCGAGTGCGGAGAGACTGCAGATATCGCCCTGAAGCTATAACACTCCTGCATAGAGGTCTGAAGCATCGACAGAAGGGCCCTGGGATAGGGGTGAATTAGGGGTGCGGTGTGTTGAACTGTTGGTTTAGTTGTAGTTCCCACCGCAGAGCCCCGATTGTGATGCTGGCCTCAGCAAAGCCAGTGTGTACAGGCGGTCGGCCGTGTTTTTTTTCCCCTTGCATAGGCCTTGGGTTGGTGCCAACACGTGTTTTGTTATATGAGTGCCGACCGAAGCTGGCTCCAGTTGAGTGTCTTTGGCAGGTCAAGGTGGCTGTGCATCTTCCGGGTTGCATTGTTCTTTATATGGGCTAGTCTTGATGTCTTGAGGGTGAAGATGCAAGTCCATTACTTGGGCTGGTCAGGGTCACCTGCACCTGTTTCCTGAACTGGCAGAGTCGCGACAATCCAGTGTTATGGCCGAGTAGTGGTGATTAACGTGAAGAGTTAGAGTTGTGCGGTATGTCAGCTGTACTATGTTGTTGTTAGTGAGAGTGCCTTGTTCGATGATTTGGCCGACACTGTGAGTTGTGTCAGCGCTATTGGGAGCTTAGTGTGGGGAGTACATGGGGGTTTATGTGGTAGTGGGGTGGAGAATCCCCTCTGAGTTGTGCTAAGCTCCCATCACCCGGCCTCAACCAACATGGTATTCCCGACACCTTTTCAGGCGAAGGAAAAGAGGTGATAAAAAAAAAAAACACCTAATCCACCGTCTATCCCCACTTGCGGAAGCTGCAGGGCTCCTGCAACCAGCTGCAGGGTCTTCTCATCAGGTCGAGTCTACCAGGTAGAGCTAGGGTTTAGGGTTTAGGGTTTGTTCTGCAGTGCCTGGTAATCTTGCCAAAAACCCACGAGCCCTAATCGATCATCAGCGCCGCGCTGCCAAACTTCCAGCTGTTTCTGAGGCACTACTGAGGAGACCCTACGGGAGGCTCATCTTCGTGTTTGTGCCTTTCGGAGCCGGCTTTTTAGGTCCTTGCCTTTCGGCATATTTCGATTCAGCTTGGCAGGTATTGAGCACTGTTTGTTGGTATAGGGTTTCATCAGCTGGGTTCAAAAAAGGGGGAAACCGAGGCTCGTTCCAGGCCGGTGCTGTTGCACATGGAGTGGCAAAGGTATTCCTGTAACAGGTGACAATCGTCTGAATGACTGCTCCATGATGTCCCTGCAGCACGTCACGTTCATGAGTCTCGTCATATTCCTGGCTTTATAAGAGAAGAGGTGCGGCACTGTGACAGAAGACCTTCGTGAGCTGCAGGCATGTTGTCAAGACTCGTAGTTGGCCATATGTGGGGGTTTCCGAAAATAGGGGGACCCTAATATAGTACCCTAAATAATAGGATCCTTATTATAAGGACCCCAACATAAGGTACCCCTAATGTTCAGAAACTCCCATGTTTGGGAAACACCTGACTTTAGGACCGGAGCTTCAGCTACACTTGTCTTGGGAAGCTTCATCCTTTATGCTGGACGAGGACTTATACCCTATTAACACATACCCTTCAACCCAGAAGCTCTGCAGTGGGCTGGGAACTCAAGGATACCTCCCCAATTACATGGTGGCATAGCTTTTTTTTTCCAGTTTCGATGAGCATCCGAACCATAACCGAAGTCAGATCATTCTCCGAACCCGCGTGCTGCACCGAGCCCCAGAGAATCAGAATCCTCACCTGCCGACAACACAAATCCCATCAGCCGAAAGCCAAAGCCCTTGCCACTGCAACTGAAATGCCCTTATACGCCTTCCCACAGCCCGGGTGAACTAGGCAGACACGCTTTTCAAATATGATCAAAACATTCGTCGTTGCTTCCTGATGGCCGCGAGGTCTTTGAGCGTGCCGGAACAGTAGAGGCGACGTGGTTGCAGTAGGTGCGAGATGTGCAAGCTCTACTTTCCGTTTCCCCCTTCTGATTTTGGTTGATACTTCGTCGTATTCTTTGCAAGAACCCAGAAATTGCTCTGGCCGCAACGAACCCCCAACCCTTTTGTGAAGCCATGTCCCGCAATGGCTACGGCTCAAGATTTGCATTTGGCTCTATAAGGATCCCAGGTATTGGATTGGATTGATTGTGGTCGCCGCCATGCTGGCTTGGTTGTTTGGTGCGCTCTTCAGCTTTGTGGTGGGGCAAGAGGACAGCTCAGAAAGTTCGTGCTTGCTGTCGCTGCGCGCTCCCAGTCAAGCTTTGTGGAGCACCTCTCAAGCATCAAAGTGCCTGATGAGCTGGCCGATGTGCATGCCCACTTCCAGGAGTACTACCAGGCCGTCTCTCCCCATGTCCAACGAAGCAAGATGATGAAAAGCCAGGTGGTTGACTGCGTGCCTTTTCTCATGCAGCCAGGATTGCTTTGGGCCTCGGACTCGGAGAAACAACTGGCCATGGACGTGGATGCAGAGCAGAGCACGGGCGACGAAGGAATGGATGAGTACGGATGCAAAGCAGACGAAATCCCGCTGCCCCGGCCTAACACGAAGGCACTGGAGGATGGCCTTGCCGAGGTCTTCCGCAAGACGGCCAAATCACGGGACCCAAGTGCCCCCTCAAAGAGCGATGGCTACCATTACTCACTGACCCCAACGTACTACAATGTTTCGTCGGACAAGGTGCACGTCATCGCTGGCGTGGGCCCGGGCATCGCCCCGATACCCGTCGTCCCCCCGACCGGCGATCACACCCTCAATCAGCTTTGGTGGATAACCCGGGCATCGCCCCCGATACCCGTCGTCCCCCCGACCGGCGATCACACCCTCAATCAGCTTTGGTGGATAAGTCCGCCATTGAAAGGGCACAACAGTACATACGACAGAAACGGGTATTCTAACTCATTCGTGTCTTTGGAGACTGGCTGGATGCGAGCGGGGACAGCACGGTCTGGGTCGTCGAGTTCCAGCATCACCACGATCTTCGTCTTCTCGACCCCGGACACATACACAGATGGGTGCTCAGATGGGCGTTGGGGCCGTTACGATCATTGGGGTGGCTTTATCGTCTCAAAATCTCCTGCGGCAAAAGCATTGTCTCCCGGGCTGGAGCGCGAGGAGGTCAGTTTCAAGTTTGAGTACAAGAGGCACAGCAGCCACGTGGAGCTCAAGCTCACGCCGTTCCAGGTGAACAACAACTCGGCGCCGGTGTTCGGGAAAGAGGTGCACGTTGGGCACTACCCGATCAACAGCGATCGGTATTGCTGGGGCTTCCCAACGGACGGTGATTGGAGCCTTCAGGTTGGCCTGGAAATGGAGGCAAATTATTTCCCAGAAAGTGGTGAGCAGACCGTCTCGGGAAAGATCTACAGTTGGGGTCCCGGGGACGACGAGTGGCAGATCCACGACATGTTCAGCGGCCCGGACTACTTTCACAACAACTACAGCACCTACTCGCAGAATCCGGAAAAGTGGGCAGTGACCTTTTCCGGAACATATACGGGCCAGAAAGCCCGAGTCACCCGGATTTCGGGCAAAGACACGCAAGTCACGCAAGCCTAAACCGACGCGGTCAATTCAAGCATGCATGTGTTCAGAGTTGCAATTCTATGGATACCACTTGTGACGTGCCGCCTCCGAGCTGATTCCAGGGGCTAGGGGCATCATCGATTATCCACGGTCACCTATGCGTACATGTGTACAGATCTACAAGATGGAATAAGTTTGCGACAACTGTATTTTTGTGTTTGGAGTTCTGCCAGAGCTCTGTGAAGCTTGGAATCATGAAGGCGGACGTCTGTAAACTTGGCCGGTCGCATCTCAAGTCCAGGTAGATTCGAGAGCATGAAGCAATGTACAGTGTATATACCCTGGTAAGGCCTCCCGGAACACTCCCACTTCCTCTCATCGACCCTACAGTGACAGGCCGAAAGCCCCAAAGTCGAAGAACCCAAGCTTTCATGTTGGCCAGCCGGGGTGACACGGATGCCCTGTCGCCTTGCCAGCCAACTGCTGGGATGCGACTTACAGCGGCGCTTCTGGGTTTTCACATGGAATCCTAGAGTTGGAAGATGGAGGCCCAAACGGGCCCTTCAACATGTGTTCGAGATGATGGGGATGCCCAGTCAGCCGTGCAGCGCAGCTGCTATGCCGGCCACTTGCTGGAACGCAGCTTGTTCTTATTGCATGTCTTTAAAATTTTCACCATTCACCAGAGCGAGGCCTTGGAACCTGCCACTCGATGCCAGACTGGTCTTACCCAGGTGTGAGTAGGTGTGAAGATACGTGTGGTTGTATGTGTGCTTGTCCCAAGACCCCTCCCGTGTTCTAAGATGATTTGTGCCAGCCTTTTGCTGGAAGAGAGCATCTTGAAGCTTGGCCATTTTGAAAAGAGTGCCGTGATTGCAGCCCATGTGTGCCAGCCAGCCGCCGGATTGTTGATCAAAAAAGTCTAGTTCAAGTCGCATGGTATAGTTGCACTCAGAGACCTTGTCTGGCGGAGTCCGAGTTGCGAGAGCGTAAACCCAAACCCTTGGATTGAAGTTCCAACTCCCAGGCCGTGCGAATCTTCAAGAAGCCGACAGGAGAGTCCCGTGGGATGGGGTCGCTCCCTGAGCTGGGCCTGAAAGCGCTGTTGAGTGCTGGGTACTTGGTACCAATTTTTAGGGAGTTTAGGGATGAAAGGGGGGGGGCCATAGTGTATGAACTCCGATATGGCAAGGTTGCATCTTCCTTCAGCTATCTTCTCTAAGATCCTGTAGGGGCGCCATGCGAGCGCTTGAAACCATGCACGAATGCCCTACCCTTAGGCCGGCATTCTCGCATGACGTTCGCTTGAGCAGGGTCATCACCTTTGTGGATCCCGAGAGCGTCCAGTGGGCGGTGCAACACCTCCGAGACGAGGAGGTCGACGACAGGAGCGACCCAGAGCCATGCCAGTGCGTGGGGCTGATGGCTTCCTCCAGGGTTTTGGAGGTCATCACCTATTTCAGTCTCATTTCCATCGGGCCCCTGTCGTTATCTTTATTATCTATTGCTCTGGCCATTGTAGACTACCTTTTTGTCTTAGACATGTCTCTTGTCCTTGTAGGAGCCAGTCGTGACTTTTCTTTTGCCAGGGCTAGGGACGCTGAGTCTCAGAGCCCGGAGAGATTGTGCAGACTCCAAGCTGCAGGAGAGACTGTAGGACAACAGAGCCTCGTCCAACACAGGGGCCTCAATAATTACCTATACTATTTTTGGGGGTTCCTTGTATAATTACATTGTCACATACCCCAAAACCCTATTCTAAGTATCAAGGCCCCGATTAGATTGTTGAGTTGCTACATATAGCTGAGGGCCGCATAATGTGGAGGGATTGGTTTCAAGAGCCCTACCCCCTTTTGAAGCAGCGCGAAGCAGTGATCTCGAAAAACGGAGCTCCTCTGCAAAACGCCTTGACACAAGCCTTGCCGAAATCATTTTTTGCTGCCTTGCCTCAAGCATAAGTGAAGTTTAGAGCCGTCTTGTCCGGAAGACACGCGCATGTTGGGCATGAGTGGTGTGGGCTTGCATTCCCCCCCGTCCGTGGTCGGTCCCAAAGTCCCGACGGTTGTCTGGGTGTGGTTTGTTTCGAGTTTTTCGAAGTCCTAGGTTTGATGGTCAAGGACTTGTAGACTTGCGGTGGCAAGGGTTTAGGGCCAATTGAATTGCATCCAAGCGTGATTCCCACCCTCAGCAGGAAGATGTGGGTGTCCACTCACAAGGGCAGCGCGGACCCCGCAAAAGGCGACCGCAACTGATGTTAGGCTAAAGAGGGTGGTTGCTTTCTTTGTTGGCTCGTAATGTCGTAATGCCAAGCCGCCTATGTTTTCGGGGCTCGCAAGGCAAAGATCGACTGCCATGAACTTGTGCTTTGTATACTGCTGTTGTCGGACCTTGCTGGGACTGCGAGGCTTGCCGCCGCCTGTCCAAACGACATCATCGCGGGCCGGAGCCTTCCATTCGCTTGCAGGGCTCTCCGGGTCGCAGAGTATGGGTCCTCGCACGTCTTCCCGGTGTCAGGCCATCAAAACGAAGCTAGCCGAGCATTTGGCAAACGACTCCCTGCCTTTTCGGATTCCAAGCAGGCCCAGTCAGTCAGACGTTTGAAGTTATCATTCGATCGGGACGGTGTTGGGGTCGCATCATCACGGGGCCCCAAATCCAAACTTGAGCTCATCTTAACCCGAAATCCGTAGCCCCACAGCGGAGATCCCAAGCCTTACAAAGAGCCCAGGTGTTCTTTAGCAACGTCCCATTCGATGTCGACGAGGCCCCACGATGGTGGTAGACCTTCTTGGAACTCAAGACGGCGACATGTTTGGGAGGAATCCCGGTTTTTGTGGTCCCATATTACCGATCATGCTGTTCAGGAACTCATGACCCCCCCTCACAGGACCAGCTGCGGATGCTCTTTGAGGAGGTCGGGGTCGTCAAGGCCCGCTTCGGGTCGGACTCTCTCTCTGCCTCGTTGGGATCGACTCGAAGCTCCCAAAAAATCCAATGTTCCCATCGGCCTCATAGTAGTTCCTTTTTGAAATTACTCTATAGGATTCTAAGGTATGAACCCCGCAAAAAGGAACTACTATGGGGCCCATGGGTTTGTTAGGTCTGTTAGGCGTCGCAAACCGCATCTCGAGCAAGCGTTTAGGGGTCCGGCTGAGGCATACCCGCATTGTATGATGCCAGGCATGCCATCTGGAAAAGACTTCAGCAAACCCTCAGGCAACACACGATACCTCTACTTTACTATGCTTCACACTTCGCTCAGAACGACACAGCTTGCTCCAACGCTTGGGGTCTCCCGTTCATTCGGTCGCATGCCATTGTTCGACCGACACCGAAATCCTCGTTCACAGCATCATGCGAGTTAAATCCCTCAGCCATCAGGAGCTCACCCTCATGAAAAAGAGCGAGGCCGGAAGAGGGGTGCTTCTGCAAGGATCTTGCGGGGTCTTTCCGTTGTTGCTTCTGTAGGCACCGGTGCAGACTCATTCACCTCGCGTAATTCTACTTGCCGAGCCCATAGACTTCAGTTCAAATCGGAGTCGGAGAAGTGTTCGGATGAGGGCGTTTCCCAACTTGTTGCAAAAACTGTCCTTCAGAAGGCGCCCTGAGATGGATGGGTTTGGACTCACGAAAACGAGGGTCGGGTCTCTTTGCAGCTCGAGCGACTCAGCCCGAGGCTTCCCTGTTGACGCTCTAGAGATCTGCAAGTTCTTGGGTTCAGACCAGCTGAAAGAAACTCCAGATTCCAGTCCAAGTTGAGAATACCAACCGGACAAGCACACTGCACACCCTACGCCTTTTTGGATATAAGCCTCCACCGCGGCGGTATTCCGACTCGAACAAGAAGGAGAAAGAGCCTCAAAACAACAATAAGCCTATAAGCCCCGAGCCCAGACTCCGAACTGAATCATGTAACCTCTTCGTCGTTTCTTAAAAACTTGACGCGCTGCGCGACAACAGAGGCATGCTAAGCGCATCGCCAACAAGCCTGAACCCTAAGCTGGGGACCAGGATGGCAGCTCGCGGGGGATGGGTGCTAGCCTCGGCATGGAGTAGCCTGTGCATACGCACAGTTCCTTCAAGATGGTGGGCTGAGCTCATCGTCTTACTGACCATGATGTTTGAGGCTGAAGAGAGGCTCAAGGCGAGTGTTGGGGTTTGGTTTCAGACACCGGTGATGGACACTGTCAGTGTGGGTATGGATATGGATTGTTCCTGCCTGCAGCCCCCCGGCGCCCCAACCGTGAACCTCATCTCGTGCGTCTGAGTGTGAGAACATAAAGCTGAAACCCTCAGCCCTGTTCAAGACTCCAGCATGCGGACAGCCGTTGACTTTGTAGCGTTTTGGGCATCGGGGTTTTCAAGCGTTGTGCATGGAAAGTACTGTATCTTCAAGCTGTGTGTCGCTCCTTACTTTTGAAAGCTGAGAACTTTAAGCCTTCCGCCGCCTTCCGAGGACACTGCACCTTCCAGGTGCCTTCTATGGCAGCCGCTGCGATCCAAGCACTCCGGGACCGAGATGTCGGGGGCCGCAGAATTCAAGTTCAAGGTTTTTTGTAACGGGTTTCGTTGGCCGACTGTTATATGCTGCAGAAAGCTCCCGTGAAGGGGGTATGGGTGCAGGTCCGATGAGAAAGACGCGGGATTGTCACCAGCTGACGTCTTTGCTCTTTTGTTTGTTGGCATTCTGTTGAAGCTTTCTCCGATACCTTCTGGTGCTTCAGGGACCCTGAACTTCAAGTGCATGCAACCCTCGTATTTGTATTCCGGTGCAGCAGTAGTAGCAGTAGTCGTCGT